GGGTTAAATAGAGGAGCACCCCGAGTCATCCTGGTCACGTGGGACATTGTTTGTATTAGACTCGACCTATGCATTGCAACGAGAGATAGTATCCAGTGTGAAGCACTGCCTCTGGCGGTCAGTAAGAACGAAATAGAAACGCACATTTCAGCTCGCCACGCTCTTGGCACGAGCTACGCCCTTGGCAGAACCAGCTTGTTTCGTCAAAACCACTGTAGCGACTCGAGTCAGGAGTTGGAATTGCAAGTATTAAAAACGATCAGGATAGAGTATTTTAGCATCTATTTTGTCCCCTCTATCTCCGCTGGGGTCTGCCCACTTTTTCAGCATTTTTCAAATATTGCCAGTGGGTGGAGTCAGGCTCTGCTGGGGATTAGTTACCATTTAACAAATGGTTTGAAAAGCAAGACATTTTGAAAGTGTATTAAGTTCATTGATATCAGGTCTGTAACATGATTAGCTATAAGAGGGATGTCTTAGAGAAGCATGTCTCTCAGAAGTAAAGATGTACAGAGGCTCTCCAATCTGTGAAAAAGTGCGTAAAAAGATTGTGAAAAACTTTAAAAACAATGTTTCTCAATGTCAAATTGCAATGACTTTGCAAATCTCATCATCAGTGCACAACATCATCAAAAGATTCAAAGAAACTGGAGAAATCTTTGTGCGTAAGGGATAAGGCCGTGGTCTTCGGGCCCTCAGACGACACTGCATCACTCATGTCACTCATCGGCATGTCTTGATGATTGTGTCAATGACATCGCTAAATGGGCTGAATACTTCCAGAAACCATTTACGGTTAACACAATCCACCTCGCCATCTGCAGATGCCAACTAAAGCTCTATCATGCAAAAATTAAGCCATATTTGAACATGGTCCAGGCGCCGTCGTACCCTGTAGGCCAAGGATCATTTAAAATAGACTATTTAAAAGTGGAAAAGGCTAGTCCAAATTTGACATCCTCGTTGGAAATGTATATAAAAAGGTATATAATGTTTTTAGAGCAACATGCTCCCCTCCAGGTGACATCTATTTCAGGGCCTTGTGTATTTCAGCAGGACAATGCAAAACCACACACTGCAGGTATTACAAAAGCAGGCGGTGCAGGTCTACCATCTGGTCTGAAAATGGACTCAAGCTGACTACATCGGGATAAGGATGAGACAGACAAATATTAGTGTATCTCTCGATATTCTGCATTCTAATGAACAAAAACTTGGATTAAAGTAATTCAAATATATAGAAAATTATATAATAATAAAAAAAAATACAGAGTTATTCTGGTAGCCAAATAAATTGAAAATACTCCATAATGTAAAATCGGAGGCACATTAAGATATTATATTTAGGCTAATGCTTTAGATAAAATGCCCAAATTAACCATCATGATCCATCTATTGCGCATTGTGAGCTGCAATGTCTGTCAATAACAGCATGAATTCTCATGAATTAATAATAGCAGCAGAATGGGCTGAGGTTATGATATCACCAAAACAAATCCTATTATCTCCACACAGAGAGAGACTGAGCACTCAGAGAGGGAAGAAGCACTGTCCAGCCTAGTTTTTCATTAGTTTGTTTTTCAAGTGACCCCTAATCAGTACTGTGTTAACTAATGGAGGTCAAAACTATCTTGCTTTCATTTATGCATGCATGCAGTGTTACCTTTAACAGTAAGTACATCAGTCCAGTTGTGCAAGAAAGAAGTTTGACTTTTAATTTTAGTCTTTTTGATTTCTGTTTAAATTACACAGAAAGTTGGCTGAAACCTTGATTGCATCGTATTGGAAGCTTTCGGTTTAAACTTAACCAATTAAATGGTAACCATTTAAACTTAATTAAATAATAAATGGTGCCTCGCTTAAAATGTACATGTTTGCCATTTTTCTACACAAATTGTTTAATTTCTCTTGTTGCTAAAAAGTACTGTGGCAGAACCATTGTATTTACCATGGGGTTTTGACAAATATGGTGCTGAATTTCATATACTATGGTATTTTCATGGTACTCCAATTAAACTTCACATACGATATTAGCATGGTACAAACAATCATAGCAAAACAATTTATATTCACAGGTTAATATAGATGTGGTTCTACAAAAAGTGTAAACAACAAATTTAATGTGAATTTGGAATTCAAATTCAATATATTGAATCAACAAGGATAAACAACACATTTAAGTGAACCCCAAAAAGAAAATTCTGTCATAATTTACTCACCTTCATGTCTGCAACACATAAAGAAGATATTTTGAGAAAGGTCCTTACAATGACAGTCAATGGTAACAAAAATGTTAGGTTACCAACATTCTTAAAAATACAGTAGAATCGCATGCTAGTTGCCCTTTTTGCACGTTAAGTAATGCGTTTCTGTTATGTCATTAGGTTATTTTTGACATAAATGGGTCTTCATTGCATTTAGAGCCAATTACTGCATCTGTTTCCTCTGGCTGTTTCCTGTGAGCACTAGGCTCTTAGCAAAGCTCTATATGCCTGCATGTCAAGTCAAGTCAAGTCACATTTATTTATATAGCGCTTTTTACAATACAGATTTTATCAAAGCAGCTTCACAGTGATAACATGAAAATAATACAACACAGATCAATAAAATTGTTTAATATTAAATGTCCCCAACTATAAGCAAGCCAAAAGCCAAGGCGACAGTGGCAAGGAACCAAAACTCCATCAGGTGATTGAATGGAGAAAAAAAACCTTGGGAGAACCCTGGCTCAGTCGGGGGCCAGTTCTCCTCTGGCCAACGAAGGAACAGTGATTACAAAACAAATTGGATTGAAACATTGATTAAGATAATTTGTCCATTTCCATCTGTTTGGAAGTCGAAGTAATCACGCCGGTTTGGAGACGAGATGTTCAGGATCAGTGCCGATGGCTTTCTTGTCGATGAGGCCGGCACTTAAGGATGAGGCAGGTCCACCATAGAGGGTCCCTCGGGATAAACAGAGAAACTAGTATTAGCATAGACGCCATCCTTCTTTTGATGTACCAAGTACATCAGGATTTATGGGACGTGTTGCCGGTTCTGGCTGATCTAAACTATGCAGCCTAATTTTGAATTTAGGAAGTCTGTTAGTGTGTTATGTGTATGCTAGGCCAAAGAGATTTGTTTTTAGTCTAGATTTGAACTGACTGAGTGTGTCTGCTTCCCAGACAATTTTAGGAAGATTGTTCCAGAGTTTTGGTGCTAAAAAGGAAAAGGATCTACCACCAGCAGTCGATTTTGATATTCTTGGTATTACCAACTGGCCGGAGTTTTGAGATCGCAATAGACATGAAGGACTATAATGAGTTAAAAGCTTGCTCAAGTACTGCGGAGCTAAACCATTTAGTGCTTTATAAGTATTTAGCAATATTTTAAAATTTATACTACGATGTTTAATAGGCAGCCAATGCAATGTTGATAGAACCGGGCTAATATGGTCATACTTCCTGGTTCTGGTAAGAACTCGAGCTGCTGCGTTTTGGACTAGCTGAAGTTTGTTACAATCATTACAATAATCTAGCCTTGATGTCATGAACGCATGAACAAATTGTTCCGCATTTGTCAATGAGAGCATTTGGCGTAATTTAGATACATTTTTAAGATGGAAAACTGCGGTTCTACAGATACTAGACACGTGACTTTCAAATGAGAGATTGGTATCAAAGAGCACACTCGAAGACTTAGACTTAGAAGAAGACTTAGACGAAGACTTAACAGAGCAGCCATCAAGTGTTAGAAAGTATTCTAGGCTGTTACGTGTGGAATTTTTTGTCCAATAATTAGAATCTCTGTTTTTTCAGAATTTAGTTGTTGGAAATTACAGTACTAGTCATCCAATTTTTTCCATCAGCTATGCATTCCGTTAATTTTGTGAACTGGTAAGTTTCGTGAAGTTTAAGCTTTTGAAGAAATATACAGCTGAGTATCATCAGCTTAACAGTGAAAGCTAATTCCATGTTTCCTAATGATATCTCCTAATGGTATATGTACAGAGTGAATAGCAGCGGTCCTAGTACTGAGCCTTGTGGTACGCCATAATGAACTTCTGATTCGATAAGACATCTCTTCATTTACTGCTACAAACTGATAACGGTCAGATAAGTATGATTTAAACCATGCTAATGCAGTTCCACTAATGCCAACATAGTTTTCTAGTCTATTTAAAAGAATGTTGTGGTCAATTGTTTCAAATACAGCATTAAGATCGAGTAACACTAATAGAGCGACACAACCGCGATCGGATGATAAGAGCAGATCATTTGTGATTCTAATGAGAGCTGTCTCGGTACTATGATGTGATTGAAAATCCTTGCAGATATCATTTCTTTCAAGAAAGGAACACAGTTGTGAGGATACTGCTTTTTCCAGTATCTTTGACAGAAGAGGCAGATTCGAGATTGGCCTGTTGTTAACTAATTCTGTAAGATCAAGTTGTGTTTTTTTAACAAGCGGTTTTATCATAGCTAGCTTAAAGGTTTTTGGTACGCAAACCTTTAAGAAGAGGATCTATGACCTCTGGAAGCATCTCTTTCAGTAGTTTAGTCAGCTTAGGGTCTAGCATACAAGTTGTTGATTTAGATGCATTAACGAGTTTGCAAAATTCTTCCTCTCCTATAGCAGCAAACCAAATCTTTCCTCAGGAAGACAACAATGCACCCCCTGATGCGATACTGTAGTAGACAGTTGCATAGTTATAATTTTGTCCCTGATATCATCAATCTTATAAGTAAAGAAATTCATAGTCATTACTGCTGTGTTGCTTGGACACTTCTGAGCTTGAAGTTTTCTGAGAGTTTGAAGCATGTTTGAGAGTTTTTCTTTTCTCTTTTATCACTGAATCTTAATGAGAGATCAGATTGCCAAGAGATGGGCTCCTGATAGTGCTCACAGGAAATTAATTAGCTCAACATCATAACCAAGGCCTCTTTGCAAATCAGACTCAATTGCTTTTAGTAGCTGGTGTGCTTTCACTGATAGTGTTTTGTCATGTTTGGTTACAGAGAGTAATGTAAGCAGCGTTGAAGAGGCTGATGATCCAATAGATTACAACAACCTTTCTGATGAACTTTATAGATGGGATGGTCCGGAAACAAGTGAGTATAACAGCACTGATCTAGGTGAAATCAAATCAGACCTGCATCCTACTGAAGTCTAAGACTGTTCACCTGAAAATGAACATTCTGTTAGCATTTACTCACCCTCATACACAACATAAAATTTCCATTCATCTTTAGAACGCAAAGTAATACACTAAAGGATTATTAGGAACACCTGTTCAATTTCTCAATAATGCAATTTTCTAATCAACCAATCACACGGCATTTGCTTCAATGCATTTAGGGGTGTGGTCCTGGTCAAGACAATGTCCTGAGCTCCAAACTGAATGTCAGAATGGGAAAGAAAGGTGATTTAAGCAATTTTGAGCGTGGCATGGTTTTTGGTGCCAGAAGGGCCGGTCGGAGTATTTCACAATCTGCTCAGTTGGGATTTTCACGCACAACCACTTCTTGGGTTTACATAGAATGGTGTGAAAAGAGAAAAACATCCAGTATGCGGCAGTCCTGTGGGGGAAAATGGCTTGTTGATGCTAGAGGTCAGAAGAGAATGGGCCGACTGATTCAAGTTCATAGAAGAGCAACTTTGACTGAAATAACCACTCGTTACAACCGAGGTATGCAGCAAAGCATTTGTGAAGCCACAACACGCACAACCTTGAGGCGGATGGGCTACAACAGCAGAAGACCCCTCTGGGTACCACTCATCTCCACTACAAATAGGATAAAGAGGCTACAATTTGTAAGAGCTCGCCAAAATTGGACAGTTGAAGACTGGAAAAATGTTGCCCTAGTCTGATGAGCCTCGATTTCTGTTGAGACATTCAGATGGTAGAGTCAGAATTTAGCGTAAACAGAATGAGAACATGGATCCATCATGCCTTGTTACCACTATACAGGCTGCTGGTGGTGGTGTAATTGTGTGGGGATGTTTTCTTGGCACACTTTAGGCCCCTTACTGCCAATTGGGCATCGTTTAAATGCCACGGCCTACTCGAGCATTGTTTCTGACCATGTCCATTCCAATATGGCCACCATGTCCCCATCCTCTGATGGCTACTTAAGCCGCCTTTCCACTGCACACGACATTCGCATACGATTGTCGCATTTCGCCCCCTAGTGTCAGTCGCACGGAACTTTGAAATTGGTCGTGAAGCAACCGTTACCCTAGGATATTCACAATGGTAAAATTAATGATTTTAATAAATGTAATACATGCATGAATATATCTACACAAAACAAATGACCCTCAATTCATCTCAAATAAAAATATAGTAGTATAAATATTGGTTTAATAATTATAAAATATTTTTTCTGCTATAGTTAATTTAACCAACATTTTCCAGAGCCAGCGTTTACAGAAAAACATTAAAGAGTTAAAATATTGGTAATTCTAGCCTCGCGCTCATAGTTTTTATTAGAATACATCACTTCCGGTTGGCCGGTCGCATACGGTCTAGCCGCAGAAGTTCAGATATTTCAACGGATCCAAAGCTCAAAACGGATCCGAATTTTCCGCATACGCATATGATCGGAACTCCCCGCAGCTCCCGTACGACTCTCCATTGGAAATGAATGACTTCCGGTCCGACGGCGGTCGTTTGTCGTGTGCAGTGGAAAGGCGGCTTTACAGTAGGATAATGCACCATGTCACAAAGCTCAAATCATTTTAAATTGGTTTCTTGAACATGACAATGAGTTCACTTTACTAAAATGGCCCCCACAGTCACCAGATCTCAACCCAATAGAGCATCTTTGGGATGAGGTGGAACGGGAGCTTCGTGCCCTGGATGTGCATCCCACAAATCTCCATCAACTGCAAGATGCTATCCTATCAATATGGGCCAAGATTTCTAAAGAATACTTTCAGCACCTTGTTGAATCAATGCCACATAGAATTAAGACAGTTCTGAAGGCGAAAGGGGGTCAAACACAGTATTAGTATGGTGTTCCTAATAATCCTTTAGGTGAGAAAAAGGTATATAAAGGTTTTAGAGCAACATATGCTCCCCTCCAGACAGCGTCTATTTCAGGGCCTTGTGTATTTCAGCAGGACAATGCAAAACCACACAGGTATTACAAAAGCATGGTGCAGGTCTACCATTTCGTCTGAAAATGGATTGGATCAAGCTGACTACATCGAGATAAGGATGAGACAGACAAATATTAGTGTAGGTGCCATTCTGTGTAATAAACCAAAAACAATAATGATAGCATTGCATGAATGTTCAAAAAACTAAAGATCAAATGAACTATATTGCTTTGTTGCTTCTCCAAACAACACTACCTCTTGAAATGGTGCATTTTCCAACATAGGATGCAGTGTACCATCAACTGCATTAAAAGTAAAACTAAACCACATCAATATTACATTTATATCTGTGTTACTTTTATAAATGACTTTGCGAACATTTTTATTACATGTTATTTTTATTAAACATAAAAAGTTGTTTACAGAATCACAATATGTATTTTTTAAATAAAGGCACTACATTTAATTGTAATTTTATTCAGTTTAGTCATTAAGTTAACAACACTTGTACCATCACCTCCACTGGCACATTTTCAATGAAACAAAATAAAGCAAATAGGGACGATAAACTATATCGGTTGCACCTTGTAAGAGGTCTAATAAATTTAATACAATATAAATACCATTCTGTCAAATAGTTTATGCATTCAGCGGAATGGTATCATTGTTGACTAGATGCCACAACCATAATAAATGGCCCAGTGTCTAAAAAAGAGCAGCAGTTTGCAAATCATAAATAACAACAACATATAAAAACAGCCCATTCTCATTCCCAAGGCGTCACCTAACTGACGCCTTGGGAAGCATTTGACCATGCTTCAATATCTGACGCTTTAGGCGCCCTTTAGCGTCAGTTAGATCAGCGGTTCTCAAACTGGGGGCCGTGGCCCCCTGGGGGGCCACTAGATGGCGCTAGGGGGGCCGCAAAGAAATTCTAGAATATGAAATTATTTAAAAAAATTATTTTACCTGTATGTAAGTTTGGATTGTCCTATTTGAAATCTGCATTGCATGATTTCTTTTATATTGTAAAACTTGTATAAAATTGTATGTCTTCTATATTGAAAAAGTATTTCTTTAAGTAGAGTAGAATTTTTTTTTTGTTTCTTGCTGAAAAAACAGATTGCTGTTCAAATTTGCAAACCAAACTTGAGCCACTGTCATTTACTACCTTAAAATGTAAGAAGTTTAATGCACTTTTTTACAATCAGCAAATTAATTTTTCAGTGTTTATCTTTTACTATGAACATCACAAATGTTCAGTATTCAATACTTTTGTTGCACTTTTCAGACAATATTACTGTTAACTGTCAAAACCATTTTTTATAAAAAAAATGTTATATTTAATGAAATGTACAATTTAACTAATTTTGTATATTCAAAGACATAAAGCTAAAAACAGAACTGTTGTTCCAGCATTGTACAAATTCATTTGTTTTTGGTACAATCTAAAATTTGTAAGTAAAATTGTACGTTTGAGGATGTTTTCGTTATGAGTTTTCTTTTGGGGGGCCACAAAAGGATTCACCCTACACAAGGGGGCCTCCTATTGAAAAAGTTTGAGAACCACTGAGTTAGATGACTCCCTAGGATCGCGTGTACCCTACCCCCACCCCACACCTAAACCTAACCGCGTCCTCTAACTGACGCTTTCCTTTAGCGTCAGTTAGATGACGCCGTAGGATCGCGTCATGTAAGTGACGCTAAAGGGCGCCTAAAACGTCAATATTGAAGCATGGTCAAAGGTGACGCCTTGGGGTGAGAATGCGTTGATAAAAACAGCATATAATGATAAATTCACAAAAAAATATTACACAAATGGCAATGATTCTTGAACTCCGCTGGAAGGACATGAGCTGATAAACGTTGTAGTGTAATATTCATGTACAGGCAACGCGCCATATCGGTTGCCAGTGATTAAGTTGTTTATCTGCTTCAACAAGTGTGTGTGCAATCAGTGAATCACTCGTTATTCAAGATGGTTCTCACTGCAGAACACGAAATGCAGGGGGACCCACCCATCTCCGCCCCCTGACCCCTAACCCCACCCCTAATCCTACCCATCTCCACCCCTCATATCTGGATCCAACTCCGCCCCCTGGATCTCGTGTACGGCAGTGAGGTGCTACTGCGATATTCTGCATTCTGTCTGTGCAAAATAGTGATACTAAACTAATGAACAAAAACTTGGATTATAAAGTACTTTATACACTCTAAAAAATGCTGGGTTGGTTTAATCAAATTTTGGGTCAAATATGGACAAACCCAGCCGTTGGGTTACATTTTTTAAACATTTTTAATCCAGCGTTTGGGTTTGTCCATATTTGACCCAAAATTGAGTTAAAACAACCCAGCATTTTTTAGAGTGTATAAAGTATATAATAATTCTTATAAAATGTAAAAAGTTATCCTGGTAGCCGAATAAATTGAAAATACTCCATAATGTATAATCAGAGGCACATTAAGATATTATATAGGATTCAGGCTAATGCTTTAGGGAAAACGCCCAAATGAACCATCATGATCCATCTATTGCGCATTGTGAGCTGCAATGTCTGTCAATAACAGCATGATTTCCTAACCCTAATAGCATCAGAATGGGCTGAGGTTATGAGGTCACCAAAACAAATCCTATTATCTCCACACAGAGAGAGACTGAGCACTCAGAGAGGGAAGAAGCACTGTGTCCAGCCTAGTTTTTCATTAGTTTGTTTTTCAAATGACCACTAATCGGTAGCTACTCATGGAGGTCAAAACTATCTTGCTTTCATTTATACTTATGCATGCATGCAGTGTTAAGTACATCAGTCCAGTTGTGCAAGAAAGAAGTTTGACTTTTAATTTTAGTCTTTTTGATTTCTGTTTAAATTACGCAGATAGTTGACTGAAACCTTGATTGCATCATATTGGAAGCTTTCGGTTTAAATTTAACCAATTAAATGGTAACCATTTAAATTTCGTAATTAAATGGTGTGTGGCTTAAAATCTACACGTCTCTTGTTGCTAAAAAGTACTGTGGCAGAACCATTGTATTTACCATGTGGTTTTGACAAATATGGTGCTGAATAATTTGTATTTTCATATACTATGGGCTCCTGATAATGCTCACAGGAAATGAATTAGCTCGACATCTTAACCAAGGCTTTTGAGACTTTTGAAAATGAGACTTGCTTTTAGTAGCTTGTGTGCTATCACTGATAGTGTTTTGTCATGTTTGGTTACAGAGAGTAATGTAAGCAGCGATGAAGAGGCTGATGATCCAATAGATTACAACAACCTTTCTGATGAACTTTATAGATGGGAAAGTCCGAAAACAAGTGAGTAGGAACCTGGGATATTCCTATTAGCTCAGATACCAGGAATATAATTTTAATAAATAATCATGAAACATGATCGGGGAATCACTTACAAATTATAAAATTACTCGTCAAGGGAAAAGTTACCGACGGCCTTTGGACAGCCGAACACAACGAATTATGATCAGTTCTCCATCCAGGTCGGCGAAAATAGATCAATTGTACTAGAATCAATCATAAGAATTATAATTAAATATAAATATATCAATTATGTCTATCATCATCTTAAAGGGGATTCATTTATGATCGGACCTACTGCTTGTCCAGCAAACCTGATCATTCGATCTCCATCAAACCTCACAGAATGATCCTCCTTTATAGACTTTCAAAAGAGGCTATTCCTCTATTCCTCTGGCCACGAGGATTAACTTTCCTGTTCTATAAAAATACCTTTTTAAGTATCAATAAATTTAGCGTTGGATGGTACATTATGGGACGATTGATGGATGATTGCATTGAAGGAACTAAATTGTTGGAAGGAAGTTGGTTTCTATCAGTGGCATAGGTTTCATTTCAACATTGTAAAGGACACGCTAATTGCTGTACATCATATTTCATAGAATCCCTCATAAATAGCATTTTTAACAAATGGGCATGAGTGAATATGTCTGTGTTCTGTGTTTCTGTGCATTCATGCAATATAAATATATCCAAATTTGGAATTAAATTCCTCCAATACAACAATCTCCATCAAAGCCTTTTCTCAAATATGTCCATGTTCTCTTAATTATTCTCTGGTGGTATTATGAGAGCTTTCACTAATGATCTTTTGTGTTGATTACAGATCCTGACTGCGGTTCGCCTGCTTCATCTTACAACAATACCTCTAATCGGAGTTCTTCAACTATGCCTACTAGTAATATGCAACACAATCTCAATAGTGATTTCTAACTATTTCACATTTTGCAGAATTAGCGTCAATTCGTAAATTTTTTGTACAGTCTGCTTGCACTCCAGTCATGGCAATGTTTAGTGGTGGATCTCGTGCTTACCTTTTTTCTAATAATTGTACGTTGACCTTCACTCATTGTGTTTTGTGCTCGTTACAGTTCCCCCCTGTTTTGTTGGTGGGTTTTTAAGAAAAAATAAGCCGCAAGCACCAAAAAAGACCAATACATCATCATCAGCAGAAGCATATAGTCACAACACTACAGTAATCCCCGAAACATTTAACATCTTGGATGAGGCTGTTCTCTTCCTCAAAGGCTTGAGGGTCACACGTGTCATGCCCTCGTTCTACATCTTGGTTGTCCTCATTAGTTTGCCCCTGAACGCTTTGGCCTTGGTGACGTTCACCTGTAGGATTCGAGTGAAGAAACCAGATGTGATCTACATGTCTAACCTGGCGTGTGTGGACCTGCTCTTCACCCTGCTGCTGCCTCTGAAGATCCACTACCAGCTGAACGCTTCAGATTGGGTGTTCGGTGAGGTGGCGTGTCGTGTGCTCAGTGCTGCTTACTACTGCAACATGTACTGCTCCATACTGCTGATGATGTGCATGAGTGTGGACAGACTGCTGGCCGTGGCGCTTCCCATCGCCTCTCTAACCTGGAGGAGTGCGAGGAAAGCCACGTGTGTGTGTGTGCTGGTCTGGCTGCTGGCGCTCGCTGGGACGGTGCCACTTCTCTCAATGACACAAACGGCCAAGATTAGGGATGTGGGCGTCACTTGTCATGACGTGACGTATCAAACACAGAAGTATGTGTACCTGTTCCTTATCCTATCCTGCCTCTACTACTTCTTGCCACTGGTTGTCACCTTAGTGAGCTCCTTTACCATAGTATATGTGCTTAGTGTAAAGTCCCATCGCTTACCAAAAAAAAAAATAAGAAGAGCTGTGATTATGGTTATCACCGTGCTGATGGAGTTTGTGGTGTGTTTCGCTCCAACCAATGGCATCCTGTTGTATCACTGTGTTCTTTTAGCTACTGGAGGGGAGGGAGATTCATCATATGCTGCTTACCTGTTGGCTGTGTGTTTGGGGAGCGCAAGTGTTTTCCTGGACCCTCTACTGTACTACTATGGCTCGTCTCAGTGCAGACAGCAGATCAGATCTGTGTTTTGGTGCAGAAAGGCAAAAAAAGTGAAAACGCCATCAAACATATGAAATGCTCTCAGTACAGCTGCACAATGACAATACAAAACAAAATGTACGAAATGAATTGGATATCTTTTAAAACAACAACAACAACAACTATATAATAGCTTGGAAAGTTTTCTATATTGTATTTATCTGGCAGTATTAACCGATATGAAATTAAGTGTTGCTGTTGGTGTTCAATATCTTTATATGCACTCATGTATTATTCAATTTACTTGTGCAGTACCCTTGCAAATTTTAAATTATTATTTATTTTTTATTTATTTTATTTTATTTATTATTATTTATTTATTTATTTATTTATTTTTTACTTATATTTTTATTTAGAGCTACAGCATTGCATACAATGCATTATGGCATTGGGTTTTACCATGTAAGTCTTAAAGGCATTACAGGAGCCCAAACAGTTTTCTGAAGTCATAATGCCAATGTGATTTTTTCAGCCTGTTCTCATCCTTTAGCGTCACATAGAATGCTATATGACAAAACGGCGCTATACTATGCGCATGGCACCCTTTATCGTTAACATAACACGCGAACCCAAGGCGTCATAAATCCTTTAGCTTAATATGAGACTGCCCTATCCTACCCCACACCTAAACCAACCCATCACAGCGCATGTTATTAACGATAACGAGTGCCGTGTGCGTAGTATAGCGCCATTTTGTAATATAGCGTTATATATGATGCTAAAGGATGAGAATGCGTTGGATTTTTTCCATTTTGTACAACTCCCATACTTTTTGAATCCAAGCGTTGTATGAGAGGGTCAGGTTCAAACTGTCTGCATGTAATAGACTTCATGGCTGCAGCAAGTGAAATTTGTAGGGCATCAAATATATCTTTCCAGTAATTTCTTAATTTTGGACATGATCACAAAATATGGGTGTGGTTACCAACATGCTGGCCACAATTTCCTCTGCACTTGAGCAGGATGGATTCCATTTTACAATTATCTGTGGAGTATGAACTAATTGGTGCAGATAGTCAAGTCCATATTGTGACCACTTTTTGAAACCCACATCTGTACGAGATGGTGCAAAGTCATTAAGATGAGTGCTGCAGATGAGTTTTTCTTAGACAAACCAAACTGATCTTTTGTATAGTTCTCTAAATTTTGGTCCATTCAGCCATGGAGACATTTTTTAACGATACACTAAAAAGGGTCGTATTACCTCAAGTTTGGGGGTCCCAGCCCACCATTTGTTTTAGGCGATTATCTTATTTTGGTAATTAGCCTTATTCTTGGCCATTTTCCTTGCCAAATTAATTTTACAATTATTTTATTCAGAAAATCAAAGATAGATTTTGGCACTTCTATAGGTAACATCAGTAATCTTGGCAGGACATTCATACGAATAGATTCAAAACGGCCAGTCATTCACTTATATTTTTAATCACTTTTTTATAGTTTGTGTCATATAACTGGTCCAAAGAGGAGGGAATTAAAAATGCTTAAGTATTTAAACCCATTTTTGGGCCAATTGTTTTTAATTTGGATTTGTTTTAAAATTTGATAACATGGCCTCCATTTTATCCATATTCACTTTATATCCAGAGTAGTATCCAGACTTGAGAATTAACTTTTTTAAATATGGAATTGTTGTCTCAGGTTCTGTTAGGCAAAGTAGGACATCATCGGTGTATAATGATAGCTTATGTTCCTCTCCTCCAATTACAATTCCCTTAATTGCACTGCCGTCCCGAATGAGTTGAGCAAGGGGTTCGATGCTGGTAGCAAACAGCAAAGGCGACAATGGACAACCTTGTCTGCATCCACGTTCTAATGCTTCCAGATTTACAACCATTTACTCTGACTGAGGCGAGAGGGTTTGTGTTATCCAGTTGAGTGTTTGAACCTTCTTAATGAAATTGGGGCCAAATTTAAACCTTTTAACTGCCAAGAGACTCACTCTTTTTAAATAATGGCAGAAACATACAAAATATTTCACAATGAATCAGTGGTGACTAGACCTGCATTATATGACTGACAGGCAAGAACGTTTTGAACTAAAAATATCACAACTGAAACTACTGCAGAAACAAAGACACCTATATCTTTGATGCTCTTGAGGTATGCTAAAACATGCCAAAAAATAATTTCAAAGTGAACTATCCCTTTAATGAGAGCGAAAAACTTTAAAGAGCTAGTTTCTATAGAATTTATTTATATATGTCTGTCAGGTCTTGGGCTTTTATTATTCTTCAACATATTTAAGCAGTGGTAGCTGGAATGTCTGTCCAAATGTTGTGACAAAATACAATTGAAATCTCCTTAATAATATTCAGGTGCTACTGTATATTGTGCAATTACATTGATTTTTTTTTTTTAATAAAAGCAGGTCTGTCCTCATTTGGTGCATACACGTTCATAAGTGAAACGTTAATGCCATCTATGGAGCCATTTACTACAATGAATTTTCCCTGTCATAAGGATATTATAAGAAGTCTTTGCAAAAGTACATAAAGGGAAGTTGTGGCTAGAGAGATTTTGGTTAGAGAGTTGGACTTGTAACCCGAAGTATCATGGGTTCAAAGTACGGGCAGGAAATGTAAGTGGGAGTGAATGGACAGTACTCTCCTCTACTTCTTTTATTACCCACAACTGGGGTGCCCTTGAGCAAGTCGCCTAACCCTCAATTGCTCCCCGGGCACCACAGAACTGGCTGCCCACTGCCCGAGTTTGTATCCAATACTCACTGTTTTGTGTGTGCACTTAAATGGATCAAATGTATAAAACTTCTGAGTATGGGATACCATACTTGACTAAACATCATGTCACTTTCACTTTCATATATACATATAATGTATGTCACCCATTTCCATATATTAATAAATATAATAATAAATAAAACGTGTAATAGTCAATCATTTGACTGAAGCATTTGATCATTGGTTTTACATATTTTGAAATATGATTGGTTTTACCAATTTAAAATGATTCAAGTTGTGTGACATGGTGCATTATCCTGCTGGAAGTAGCCATCAAAGGATGGACATGGTCAAAAACAAGGCTCAGGTATAGGCTGTGGCATTTAAAAGATGCCCAATTGGCACTAAGGGGCCTAAAGTGTGCCAAGAAAACATCACTACACATCATTACACCACCAACACCAGCCTGAACAGTGGTAACAAGGCATGATGGATTCATGTTCTCATTCTGTTTACGCCAAATTCTCTACCATCTGAATGTCTAAACAGAAATCGAGACTCATCAGACCAGGCAACATTTTTCCAGTCTTCAACTGTCCAATTTTGGTGAGCTCTTGCAAATTGTTGCCTCTTCTTCCTATTTGTAGTGGAGATGAGTGGTACCCGCTGCTGGTGTAGCCCATCCGCCTCAAGGTTGTGCGTGTTGTGGCTTCACAAATGCTTTGCTGCACCTTGGTTGTAACGAGTGGTTATTTCAGATAACATGGCCCATTCTCCTGGCATTTTCACCCACAGGACTGCAGCATACTAGATGTTTTTTCCCTTTTCACACCATTCTTTGTAAACGGTTGTGTGTGAAAATCACAGTAACTGAGCAGGTTGTGAAATACTCAGACCGGCCCTTATGTCACCAACAAACAAAAACATCAAAATTGCTTAAATTACCTTTCTTTCCCATTCTGACGTTCAGTTTGTAGTTCAGGAGATTGTCTTGACCAGGACCACACTCCTAAATTCATTGAAGCACTGCCATGTGATTGGTTGATTAGATAATTGCATTAATGAGAAATTGAACAGGTGTTCCTATAATCCTGTGAGTGTATATAGAGTGCACAGTCGATATCAATGGGAAACATGTTTCGTCAATTACAGGCACAAATTTTATCAGTAGGTTTTTATAATGCAAATTAGTAGATCTGTAAATCAGTTGTGCCCCTTCTTTGAAAGTATTCGGATTTCCCACACACTGACAGAACGTTTATTAATTGCATTATATTTTTTAAAATTATTACAAATTGGACCCTGTCTCTTCATGTTCCAATCCTTTTTTTTTTATGAATTCATGAATATTGCTTGCTATTAAAGACATACTTGTATTCATGGAAATGCCCACATATCAGTGAACTTATACACTGTAAAAAAGAATATGCTTTATCTAATCAAATAAAATTGTGGCAGCAGATTACAAGCAATATTATTAAATTTAACAAATTAGAATTGAGTAATAATTAATCAAATTAATTACTTAAAAGTTAACCATTTAAAATGAGTAAAAATTACAACAACAACCAAAAAAAAAAAAAAGAAGAAGTCATCATAATGGTGATCGGTGTTTGTTTTAAAATGATGGTTTTCTCCTTCTGATTCTGCTTGTTAACATCAGGTGTCTTCAATGTTGGCAATATAAAATAAAGAGTTTTTAATTAATATTTGACGTCTGTCAAACTTTAATGTGTAAACTAGTGTAAACTCAATTTAAATGGTTAACTTTTAAGGAATAATTTGATTAATTATTACTTAATTCTAATTTGTTAAATTTCATTAATAATAGTCAAGTCAAGTCAAGTCACATTTATTTATATAGCGCTTTTCACAATACAGATTGTATCAAAGCAGCTTCACAGTGATAACATGTAAGTAGCACAACACAGATCAACAACATTGCTAAACACTAAATAAATAACCCCAACTGAGCAAGCTCAAAGCAAGCCAAAAGCAAGGCGACAGTATTGCTTGTAATCTGTTGCCACAATTCTGTTGATTAGATAAAGCATATTCATTTTTACAGTGTACATAAACATAATTGCACAAAATAAGGTCAACAACCACTTTACTTGTTGGGGGTTGGAGTTTGAGTATAGGGTTTCGGGTTTGGGCCAAAATACCGATCCTGGAGCCCTCTCGTGAAATACATATTAATGACTATAAAGGAAGAAAACATGAATATACGATTTATTTAAAAATAATAATAATAATAATAATAAAATTGAATAAATTCAAATAGGCTACGATTAATTTCAAATACACTACATGCTGAAGACAAACACCTTTCAGAGATGTACTTCATGTGCTTACTTCTGAGTTACATTTAGAATGTAGAGATAGTACTTGACATTACGAGCAGTTATTATTGTTTGCAATTACTATAAAACGTTACTATTATCCAAAAACGCACAGAGGGTGTGAATGTGCAGATCAATTCAAGACCTCCCAAAACGACCATATCCCACTTTAATGGATTCTCAAACAGACAATCATCAGCATCAAGTTTCAAGATCACTTGGGCTCTCACAGCTCTTACTGCCCAACCAACTGCATCACTGTGTGATCTGAGTGCATCGGTTCAGACCG